GAGTAAACTCATTCACAGAGTGGGATTAACACAACTATAGGTTCATTCGTAGCATTAATAATTAGTAAATGCTCGGAAACGCTGAAGGCAGAAGGAAAAGAGGAAGGCCAAATATGAGATGGATTGACGCCATAAAGGAAGCCACAGGGTTGAGTTTGGAAGCGCTGAGAAGGCTGCCTAGTGATACGACATTTTGGAGCTCAGTCATTCATAAGGTGACTTGACAACACATAACAACAACAGACTTAAGCAGGAATTGATCCAGTGGCTGAAATCATTTTGTTTAGCATGGAAAGTCACACTGGAGCCGTAAGTCACCCTTTAGCATAGCCGGTCACAATTAGACCCCTGTTAATCATTTAAACCTACGGAGGTATTGAGTCAGCAAATCCCCACTGATTCAGTGTGTCTACTCTAGTTCACCAGGATTTTAACCAGTGAATCTACTTTAACCAGGACTAGCAATAGGATACTGCCCTATGTCTCTTATACAACATTGCAATACCAATCTGTATATATGGGTGAGATCTGCAACATGATCTTACATCTGCTTACTAAGTGTTATGAACCATCCACTGAGTTTTACAGGAGTGACTCTGAAATACACTAGCAATAGGATACTGCCCTATGTCTCTGATACAACATCGCAATACCAATCTGTATATATGGGTGACATCTGCAACATGATCTTAATATCTGCTTACTAAGTGTTATGATCCATCCACTGAGTTTTACAGGAATGACTCTGAAATAGATTTGCAGACAAGTGCAACTCTAGACTGAACTTGTGTACTAGCTATGCCTCCTCAGTTCAGGTTCCTTTAATATATAACACAGGCTAAGAATGAGCTCTTAGGAGGCGTTCCAGAATCCAGCATTATCTTCCTCTAGCTTCACCAGGATGGAAAAATACCCCAGAGCTTAAGGTCACTAAAATTAGGAGCAGCTAGTGCAGACAGAAATATGATCCAACCAGATGATACAAAGCCTTTTGTGAAGTACCCCAGGAGCAGATCAGCATATAGACCGTCCACTGCTGGGTATCTCAAATGCCTGCCCTGGGAGCCAATTTTTAATAGCACGAGCTTCATCCTGGTAACCAGAGAAGACAAGAATTCTCCTGGAGAAATTTGGCAGTCACCACAGTGACGAAAGGAAAGCCATAGAATCTGAGTGGATGGGTTGGCTTCTCTAGCCTCTTGTCTCCTTACAGAAAGTATCTTGGCTTGCTATTAACAATCAGAAAAAGTTTTCCACCTCTTCTACCAATGCTCGGTGTGCCTCTTCAGTCCCTTAGGTATCTGAGAGCAAAATTCATAACAAGGAACAAGAGTCATTCCTCGTTCATCAAGGGCAGTCTGTGTTTCTGGCCCCTGTCTCTTATAGGTTCCTGTAGCAGAGGGTTCCCCAAACTACCCATCAGAGAGTTACAAATGCATGCAGACTTCTTTTTAAATTCTGTGAACAAGGCAGGGCACTATAAAAGCCTCAACTGCATTACTAATCCTGGGAAAGGTTGAAGGCACTAAGAAAAGAGGAAGATCAAATAAGAGATGGAAAGGCTCAACACAAAAGAAGGGAGGGGGAGGAGAGAGGATGCTCTCCCCCCCCCAATGGAATCCTATATTTGGTATTTTTAAAAATTTGCACAAGTAAAAACCAGAGTCAGGTTAAAAATCCATGGGTATCATTAACGTTCAAGCTGAATTTCAAAAAGGAAGAGGCCCATGAGATTATATTGCAAATATCTGCTGGCTACTGAAGCACACCAAAGAGTGCTGGAAGAAAATCAGTTTATCCTTTACAGACTACAGCAGAGCTTTTGACCGTGTGGATCATGCGAAACAGGATTGTTTCTGGCCTCAGCATTTGATTGTCCCACTGTGTAAATTATATTGTGGACAAGAAGCTACCCTTAGGACAGAAGATGGAGAGACAGAATGGTTTCCTCTAGGCAAAGGTGCCAGACAAGGGTGCCTTTTATTCCCTTATCTGTTCAATCTGTACGCAGAACATATCACATGAAAGTAGACTAGTGTCAGATGGAGTGAAAACTCGTGGCAGAAACATTAATAATTTATGATATGCAGATGATACCGTTACTGGCCGAAAGCAGCAATGACTTGAAGTTCCTTTAGTGAAAGAAAGAAGTGTCAAACAAGACTGCAGTTGACCGTTAAGAAAACAAAAATCATGACTACAGAAGATCAGCATGTTTCTCACGTGGACGATGAAGATGCTGAAATAGTCTGAGGTTTTGCATACCTTGGTTCCGTCGTCAATCCAAATGGAGACCGCAGCCCAGAGATCAGAAGACAGAGACTCCCACTCATAGTGCTCCAACTCACAGAACTATTTAGCACAGGGTAAAGGTGGTGCAAAAGGCCTCGGACAGTCCTCCTTGGCGGTGAGAAGAGAGAGGGAGGGGACGAGGGTGCCCCGATTTCAGCTATGAAATGGTAGAGGTCACTAGCCTCAAAAGATGAAACGACGACCCTATGGCTGCTTTCACACAAGTTCACTTCTCTTTTACAGTGGGAGGAAACCATGGCAGGGTCTGCCATGCCGCCAGTGCAAAGCAGGGCGGACATGAACGGTGTGACCAGAGCTTCTGGAAAACCCAGGCTTTGGCATGAATTGCCTGATTCAGTTATTAGACCACTCAGTGTGCCCCCAGGTCAGGTGGCGTGCTGGAAAAGTTCACTTCTCTTTTACAGTGGGAGGAAACCATGGCAGGGTCTGCCATGCCGCCAGTGCAAAGCAGGGCGGACATGAACGGTGTGACCAGAGCTTCTGGAAAACCCAGGCTTTGGCATGAATTGCCTGATTCAGTTATTAGACCACCTAGTGTGCCCCCAGGCCAGATGGTGTGCTAGAAAAGTGTAACTAACTAACTAACTAACTAACTAACTAACTAACTAACTAACTAACTAACTAACTAACTAACTAACTAACTAACTAACTAACTACTTTTTCGACATGGCAGTGCCACCTGTCAGGTGGTGGAGGTCTGATTAGCATCCATTTATTCTTCTGAAAACACCTGATTCTTAAGTTCACATACATACGTTCCAAGACATCAGAATAAATCACTGAACATGTATGTATCCTCAAAGATTTGCATGACACATAAGCAGGTGGAAGCCAAGTTGCATGTCACCGCTGGGCAGAACTTGAAAAGAAACTTTTTCAGCACTCATTGTAGTGTTTGAAAAGGAACCCATTGTCACTGGTTAAAATTTTGAAAAAGTAACTTCTTCTCTTTCTTGTTGCAATTCTTGTTACTTTCCTATAACTTAATTTTACTTTAATTAAACACAGTTTAGGATTGATGAAAATACGGCATAAAATTTGAAAAGCCCT